AAGATCAAAGCCATTTTTGTAGGTAAAAAAAATCCATTGCTATTCAAGAAGTTGTTTGTTTACTGATAAAGAAATTCAGATATTTACCTGAAGATAAAGAGGAAGATTCTCTCGAATGGCAGATAGCATAACTGCAGGCAGCTCTTTGTCTTGCTGAAACACCACAAGTGGCAACAGCAAGCTATCTATGATGCGGAACAAAAGCTGTTGTGCTTTAGAAGTTGCCAGTATTGGTGCCCAGCACTTTACAAGGCATCCTATTGAACAACAGTCAAGAAACCCAAAAAAGTAAATTACAAGAAGGCAAAAAAAATTCCAAGCAGGCAATCTGTTAAGTTACAGTATCCATGGTTACCACAGCAACCCAGTTATCTTATTTTCAAGTATAGCCCAACCTGTTTAGTGAACCTGGATATAATAAAAGTCCATTTACAATACAGCAAAATACAAGTCCCAAATTGCTTCAGTGCAGATAATGTACTAATTGTAATTTTGTTTTGTAAAAGGAAAAAATACAATGTAAAAAGAGGCCATCTTATTACAGCTCTATGTTATAAGCGTTCCACTATTTAACTACTGAATTCGGTATATTAATGCTTACACTACATCTGCTGTTCCCACACATGCCATACTATGGGTTCTCAAACTTTATCAGTATGAATCACATCTTCAACCAAGAGACTGTCTTTAGCTTCCTTTCACAACTGTATAACATCCCTTCGGCGATAAGGAAATTATTTACATGGAAGAGCAATATTAGGGAAATATTTTATATATTTCAGCTACTTTTAATGCAATTTATTAGCTGAAAACAAGAAGTCAAGTCCACAGGAACCAGGTGCCTTTCTACAGACTGCTGGTGGAAGTTTGAAAACTTCCATGCTACATAAGAGTAGCACTTCTTAAATTTTTTCAACACTTTTGTGTATTGATTTACACAGTTCCCTGTCCTTAGTTTTAGAGTCTTACTTGAAGGGTGTTAATGTAAAATGCTAAAGAGTGTTATTGTATAAATACCCTGATGCCCAAGAAAGCTGAAATGTAGTTTTTAGTACAGAAATGTGCATACTCAGCAGAATGTTATTACTCAGTGCACAGTGCAGCTAATACACAGTCTAAAAAAACAGATTCTTGCCCACATGAATTCTCATCAACTGAGCCCAATCTGAGTATATATGAAATTAACAACAAGAAAAGGTTTCCTAGTTTACAAAGTACACAAAATACAGAAGCATTCCAAAAAAATATATTCAAGACAAAGTAAGGACTGGAAGACATCAAAAATAGGTTTTTACAAGATGTTATTAATATAGAAAAGTCAACCCATTACCATCTCTAAAAACAATGAACAATAACATTAATCTTGTGGAGTAAAACAAAACATGGTGATCAATCATAATGAAACAGAGTGATCACTTAGCAATATGTCTAATAATGCTACCTAGTGCCCCACTTTCTTTTAACTGCCACACAAAAATATTTGGGACAAGCATAATCACTCAGACCCCACTGTTCTATGCCCATAACCACTGATACTCTGTATTTGGTGGCAAAGTGCCATGCAATTTAAAGACACATATGATGCCCATAGAGTCACTTCTAGATTTATCTGGAAAGCATATTACTATACAACTACAGTTTTACAAGCTCACAGCGGGTGAAGAAATGACTGGGATTACTTTCACTGTCCGAACAAACCCATAATTCCCATTTCACTACTTTTTTATTAAGGCAAGAGGACAATTTCTTGTGCCCAGTGAAACAATTTCAGATTCGGATAATATCACCATTTCCAATGGGAAAGGAAGGAGAGGGACAAATTGCCCTTTAGTCACTTTATTATACAGAAAAGTTTCTGGCATCTGGATAACTAACACAACTCAGTGTTGACAGCTTATGAAAAGCATTCACCCATTTCTAATTCTGTTAAATTAGCTATATAGACAGCATGCTACTCAAATGTTAGTTTTGCTTATTTCAGTGAACAATGCCCACTATTTTAAAGATGGCACTTTTACTATACAGGCAGTCCCCGGGTTACATGGATCCAACTTACATCGGATCCCTACTTACAAACGGGGTGAGGCAACCCCGCACTAGCTGCTTCCCCCCAGCAGACCAGGGAGACGCGGAGCGGCTTTTCTCAGCAGACACCTCAGCTTGAGAATAAAGGCCTGAGGGAAGTGAGGTGTGGGAGAATAAAACTGAGCTCTGGAGAAATGTTTGGCTAGAGTTTCCCCTACAATATGTACCAGTTCCGACTTACATACAAATTCAACTTAAGAACAAACCTACAGTCCCTATCTTGTACGTAACCCGGGGACTGCCTGTATATGTATATCCACATACTACCCTCTATCTTTTATTTCAAAGTATGCCATGGGTCAGATTCTGGCAATCTTATTCATAGGTAATACCACTATATTCAAGTGGTTCCATTGGTTTTAATGGCTCTACTCAAGGAGTAAAGAACTATTTGCCGTGAGTAAGGCTGCCAGAATATGGCTTTTAATAATGAGCACACAAGACTGAAGAGTGCCAAAGTATTGCATAATGAGTTGATAATTTACACAGACTCATGAACTACCATAGCTTTATAGCAAAGATACTGCAGATTCAGAAAAATCTAGTTCCATTGCCATTTTTCCTAGTTTTGTTCCAGTAAAGATTTTTCACTGAACAAAAATATTAAAACTTCATACTTTCAAATGAAAGCTCAACTTTGTTCTATTCACAGCACATCTACAGAGGAAGAATTATTTTTGGAGGAAAGAAAATACCTCTGCGTTTCAGAGGATCAAGATAAAAGGGTGAGAAAGATAAGAGAAAAATTAGGCATTTTGCTTTATAAAAGTTTTCTGATATTTACTCTTTTAAACATCAGAAAAATAGATTATTAAAAAAATCTATACAAAAAGTTGTTTGTTGATGTGGTGTTGAGCAAATATTTTACTCATTCCATACACAAAGCTATTTCCTGTGAAATTATGAAAGAAGATGAAGAATGATTGAAAAATAATTACCAATAATTGAGTAAGTGAGCTGCAGGCCTTCGGCAGGTCCTTTCTTCATCAAATAAGGTTTTACATACTTTACCACATCACCTAGATATTCCATCGTCTTTGTTACCATGGCAGATTTCTCAGCTACCGTCTGAAGGCCGCTGTAAGTTATACCAACAGCCTGAAAACAAAAAGAAAGTGAAATAGACCAGACTGTTGGGTTTAGTTTGTTTTTGTTAAATATTGTGCTGAAGCTTAGCTAAATACTTTTTCCAAAAAGCATACTCAGGTTTTGGTTTTACATAGCACATTGTTTATAAAAGATATAGTACCTTAATGAATTGTATAAGTGCATTCTTAGGGTCTTGCTTGAAGACAGACTCATCAAAATGTGCCCTTGAGAAGATGTTTTCTATTTCTGAGAATTTAAAAACCAGTCTTGTCATTTCAGTCAGTTGCTCCACATACACTTTCCCTGTTATAAAAGGAAATACAACTAAGAATGCAGTACACTTTGCCAGTCAACTTCACCTATGATTAAGGTTTCTATTTACCTGTTAACAAAGTCATGAAGTAAAACACGATTCAAAATTATGAAGATACAGTGGGTGAGAGTAATGAACATTACAAGTAATGCAAAACCTCCACTCTATCATTAGCCTTCCCAGGAATTCACAGACTATACATGAACAATAGCTTTTGAAAGATTTAACCTACAGTTAATTAGAAGTACAGTATTCTAAAAGAACCAAATAAGTATCTTTCAGTACATAAGGATAGAGCAGCCAAGAAAATCAAAATATCCCATCTAAAATGGCAAAGAATTATTCATAATTGGATGTTTTTCTTTTTAGAGAGTTCACAGCATGATTCCTAGTTATTTACTTCAGATTTTCACTTTTTTCAGAGTAGTTCTTCATAGGGGAAAAAAATAGCATGTCTCCTTGGGAGCAAGTTTTTGTTCTTTGCTTCCAAGGAAACAAGCTCTTTTATCTTTGTTTGTGATAAATTTGTCATATACTGAACAGGCAAAACATCAAGAAATAGCACAAGCCATGTAAAGAAACACATTTTGTAATTAGGTAAAAGTAAAGAAATGCAAACATACATATACTTCTGATATATGGAATTGTTACAGCAATTCAAACACCAGGGAAATATGAACACTTACCAAATGTTCGCTCAGCATCTGTCCTGGTCAATGTATCAGTAGGCTGATCAATGTACATTTGCAAAATGCATCGAAACCAAGAACGTACTGACAAGGCTTCATAGGATGTATGTCCCATACCACAAAAAGCTTCTGATAATGCACTGCAAGAAATGGAAGTAAGGAAATATGTAAGGACCTGGGCAAAAGCCTCATTTTACTTAATGATTATAGAGTTTTAGCAACTTTATTTGTAACTGTCATCCTACATAACACAGACAGAGGGCCAAACTTTGCATTCCTTTAAAAACATGGAAACTACAGAATTTTACACAAGAGTTTACAGGTGCCAGGATACAGATGATGTGCTAAATTTATTAGTGTTGTATGTGATAATGTAACTTGCAGGTCAGATTAAGACAAACAACTGTTAAAGAGAAAAATCTATACTTTTGTTATTTTCAGTCTAGAAATGGGAGTCTCTCTATATCACTACATCTAAGGATAAGTGATTTGTTTAAGCAAATAAGTCTTTGACCAATCAAAAATAGCTAAGGAGAAAAATCTCACTAAGATAATCTAGAGATGCCACAGGCAACTGTGAACTGTTCTCAACTATCCTCGTCTATAAACACAAAGAGGGACAGTTTTTAATACAGTCTGTGACTTTTTTTGATATTATTTATCTGAATACATTATGTGTTTTAATTCTGTAATTGATAGCATAGTGCTAACAGAGATCCGTACTTTGCTCTGAGAACTTTTACTGTACATAGGACATTAGAATTACATTGTAGGGAGGTAGAATAGTGATAGAGATGCAGCCGTGTTAGTCTGGGGTAGCTAAAACAAAAGACAGAACTATGTAGCACTTTAAAGACTAACAAGATGGTTTATTAGGTAATGAGCTTTCGTGGGCCAGACCCACTTCCTCAGATCAATATGTGGAAGAAAATCGGCACAACCATATATACCAAAGTGATACAATAAAAAAAAAAAAAAAAAAAAAAAAAAGTGAACGCATGTGAAATTGACAAATGAAATTTTAGAACAGAGGTGAGGTGAAGGGAGAAGGTAAGTTTCTGTGAGGTAGTGACATTAGGGGTGATAATTGGGGAAGCTATCTTTGTAATGGATGAGATAATTAGAGTCTTTGTTTAAACCCATACGTAAAGTGTCAAATTTAAGCATGAATGACAATTCTGAAGCTTCTCGTTGAAGTCTGGAGTAAAAGTCTCTTTGAAGCAATATGCATGTTTTAAGGTCATTCAGTGAATGATCAGTCTGCATTGATTCTTTGTGTTCTTGATCTTGTAACTGGCATGGTTAGGTCCAATAATGGTGTCAGCAGAGTAAATATGTGGACAAAGCTGGCACCGTCCATCTGCTATGTACATTGGACAAACATCTCAGACACTTCACCAAAGAATCAATGCACACAAACCAGACATAAGACTCTCTCACAGAGAGAAAGCTATTGCCTGCTATTTCAGCCACACTGGTCATTCACTTAATGACCTTAAAACATGCATATTGCTTCAAGGAGACTAACTCCAGACTTCAACGAGAAGCTTCAGAATTGTCATTCATGCTTAAATTTGACACTTTACGTATGGGT